AGTGCTACGTATGCACTACTAATTAGACTGTCGCGCAGTGCTGCACGATTCGGTATGTGTTTTGCAATATCAAAGTGCAAAGTATTATTACAGAACTGGATCGATACGCCACTGGTTCTGGCCATCAGCGAAATGGAAGTGGTGAACCGATTCACTCACCTTGGTAGCTGTGTCACCTCTGATAGTCACCTCACTGAGGAAGTTACTTCGCGTACAACTATTTATGGAGACTGCGGGATACCAGCCTGTCAGTGTGGGTATGACGCTGCGATAAAGCCGATGTTACGGTATGGATCAGAGAGTTGGCCAGTTCGCAGTGAAGGCATTTAACGATTGCGGAGTATTGTTCACCAATGGTTATAACACCGAGTGAGCAATGCTGAGGTCCTATGTGGGCTTTTGGATAGACGTCTTTAGCCTCACTCGAGTGTTTGCTGAAGCTCAACAGCGTATGTTGGCTAGGCTATGTCCTCCGTATGTCCGTTGACCGACTTTCTCAACGTGCATTGTACGCCGTGGCTGTGAAACCCCGAAGTGGCCAGTTGATGGCGTGGCATAGTGGCACGAATAAATTAACGGAGAGGCTTGGTCAGGCCGGTCCACTCTATGTGCGTTCAGCGTCATCTCAACATTGCCATTTATTGTTATCCTGGTGAATTGTCGTAGCAAGTGGATCCACCGCACTTCACTGCCAGATTTTACTTATCTGACTGATCTAAAATTTTATCTTGCCAAAGATTGATGTCTGACCAAACTAGTCCTTTTTCATTTTCTTCGCGTTTTGTCGATTTGGTTCGAGGGGTGTTAGAAAATTGGTTCAATCACAGGCGATTAGTAGTCAAGGCGGTGCAACACGCACTGAAGCGGGAATTCATGCAGCCAGTGAGAATTTCAGTTTGAAATTCAAGATCCGCATAAGTAAAATTTTTAAAACTCAGTTTGGAAAAAGACCAAGTGCAGACTAACGATATTGGTCGCTACCAGTTTCGTCAACTGGCAGTTGTAAGTATTCAGGCTAATGAAATATGAGCGGGTCTACTATGACCAACGGTAGATACCGTTGTGACGAACTTGCCAAAGTTACTAAGTTGAATATATTTTTGTGTGGAAAGCAAATCAAGTGCGCATGTGAAGAGAAACTCTGAAAATGCGTCGAACATTTTGCGAAACCCGCCCGGTTGGCCAGGTCAGATGTCTTACTCAACTTCGTAACACTTAATAAAACACTAAGGTAAAATATGCCTTTTGTTTTCGGTAGTAACACCCAAAATAGTGTCAATCTGAAAACTTCAACTTCGAGTGTGATATATCGAAACCACATAGAGGTTCTCAAAACTACAGATAGAAAGACCTTAAAATAGACCTGAATACATATAACCGGGGGGGGATATAAATACTCGGACAACAGGGATCGGGTTACTTTAAAAACTAGGTAACGCTAATGCAGTGACCTAGCATAGGGGAGGCGGGGCCGCACCGCCCCGGGCGGCATGTGACAAGGGACGGTGTTTTTGGTACGGTTGATCGTCCGATACTAAATATAAGGGGCATAGATTCCAGATAAGCTGAAGCTTTCCTATTTGTAGGTTATTGGGTACGCCTAAGAAAACCTTTGTGCCATGTGTCACAGCTGTGCAAACATTCTCCCTTGTGGTCCCCTTACTTGTTCCAATGTGGTCGCTTTTACCCCATTTACCTCAGTGTCCCAAATGATCATACATTTTATCGAAAACTAATGTGCAGTTGGCCATGTGCCGATTTTGAGAGTTTAGGGGTTTACAACTGCCAGAGGTTGGGGGCGAAAATTTTACCACTACCCGGGGCGGCAAATGTCGTTGTTACGCCACTGCGTGAAGGGTGATACTTCCAAACCTTATCTGGGTATTCCAGAGGTAATTACCAATGAAGTTAATTACTTCGTCGTTTGCGTCAGGATAAAATCAGCTTTCTTTATTGCTTTGATATCAGTCCCAACATCTTCATTCAGATGCCTAATGGTAATGAGGTCATTGTGTTTTCTAGCAGCCATTTACCCACTGCTGGCGGGGCCAAGGGAGCTTGGGTCCTGTGAACATGAGGACTTGAAGCCAACCAACCGAAGCAACAAAACCTTGCTTGACAGTTTATCCAAAAGCGTTCTCAGCGCCGTATACATATTCACGACCACACAAAGTGCGTACATTGCACTCCGACAAGATAAGTCAATATAAGTAAACAAGCTGTTTATTCTCCACAATTCCAGGCACATCTGCATAGTCATTATCATGATATTACAGACACCAGGGATCAGCAACTGTACAGAAAAGTTACAAGTTACCCAGTTACAAACTGGACGTATGTGGGTGTATGTACATGTGGGTGTTTATGTAGCCAAGTTGATTGGATTTTTGTGTGAGTTGCATTTATGGTTGTGTTTGACCGGATCGCCAGTTAAAGAAGGGATGATAGGAACTTTTTGAAGTGGATGATTGGCGTTCGTGAACTGGGCAAGATGCAGTGGCTTTATTTAGTGGCTAGTAACATCCGTCACGTCGCAGTGTTGTTAAACAGATGTTCACGGTCTTTTATAGGGAGAACGCTTGTCACCTGTTGTGATCTCCGCCGACCGTACGCAGAACCTGTTCCAATTGCGCAATCTGATCGACCGGCTTCCCAAATCGGAAGTCAAGGTCTCAGACGAAAACGATATTGAACACCCGGCACACAATATCTACAAGCAAACGCTGGGGTCAAATAAATACTTCATAAGAGAAGGACCTAGCTGGGATTTCCTGGATTGCAACAGCTATTAGATGCTGATAATGCACTCGTTGAATGCCGAGATAATACGCTCACTGGCAGGCTTCAAATTAGATCATCCTCATTGATAGCGTGCAATGTGAAACGTCATCATTGGCCCGCTCCCATTGGTTGCGTAAGAAGCTTCGGGCTGCGTCAAGATCAGACTGTTCCGGGCTGCAAGCGAAGGAGGTGGCCGGCTCAGAAGGCAGCTATGAGTAGGCTCCCTTAACACCACCCTAATTGTCTCAAGTCTATTTCGGCTAAAAATATCGAAAATTGTCAAAGAAAGCAGGAAATTTGCGGTGACGTGTAGAACATCTCGGTGAGGCCAGTGGAGCACAAATTCCGTATATAAATGAGAATCGCGTTCAAACTCACGACAGTGACAAACGGAGCAGGTGCACTGGCTGCATCGGACAAAGCAAGGTAGTGACTGTCAAGACAGCGGATAAGCGCAGATAACGTTTGCTAATTCACTGGAAATTGACCCTCATTTTCCTACAAACCTACGACTTACGAGGGGGTGTTGATAAGGTCTTGGCTTCGATATATTTCAGGCAAAATAGGAAATGTGTGTTGGAACAAATGAGACTTAATTTCTCTTATCTATTTGTGCCAATGTCAGGCGTTTGTGGTTCTAACAAATTGTTTTTAGATAGAAACTATGATGGCAGAGACGGAAGCAACATTCTCTTCGTTTGAGCAACGGGCCGTCATAAAATTTTTGTCTCTCTAGTAAAAGTCAGCTATAGGGATATGTGTCCCTTCTAAAGCCCTGTCAAAAGCTTGATATATCGTTTTAAGACTGGTCCTTACAACCTACAAGAAGAGCCCTTAGTGGGTGTCCACAAACCCCAGTAACCTGTGAGGCCATCCATGAGTTGATTCAGGAGGAACGGCGAATATCAGCTAAAAGATTGCCCAGGTACTGGACATCTCGCTGGAGCGAATTGGGTTTGTTATATATACTATCATGGACATGCATCCGCCTTCAGTAAAGTGATGAAATATATTATCTGTGATCATAAATAGAAACGTATTGAATTATTGGAAATCATTTTGACTCTTTTGGAAGCTGCACCAGACCTTTCGACTAGGTTAGTGGCAGAATGAAACCTGGCTTTATGTATATGATTCTGAACCCAATGAACAGTCAGAGTAGTGGCGCCACGGTGGGTCCCCGCAGCCGAAGAAATTCCGCACCCAAATACCAGCCAAAAGAGTCACGTTGTCCGTTTTCTGTGACGAAGACGGTATATTGCTGGTGAACTACCTACCTCAGGGCTCCAGTACTACCAGACAGTATTATGCTAACCTCCAGGGTTAGCTGAACGAGGCAATTAAGAGGAAACGCTATGGTAAACTGACCAAAGGCATCTTTTTCCTTGCATGACAATCCAAATGTACACATGCGCAATGTTGTAGCTGCCATACCGAACAACCTCATTTTCCATTTGATCCACCATTCCACCTACTCACTTGATCTGACCCCGTTAGACTATTATATCTTACCGAACTGGAAGTAATATCTGAGGAGGCAACGTTTTGAAAACGTTTCTGACGTCAAACACTATGCTGACAGCTGGAATGACGCACAACCAAATGATGTTAACCTGACCGATATAGAGAAACCGCAAACACGCTGTGTCGATTGCATCAGTCTCAGGTGTGGATATCTTGAATCAGTGAGTCATTCCAAGATCCTAGCTCTCTTCTTTCTAGCCAAAGCTAGGAATTTATCAACACCCTCTCGCATCATCCGAAGTGGGTTGCTTTACTCCGTGCCAACAATGTGTTTTAGATTCCTATCATCGATAACCTGAGATGACTTCAACTAGTGTGCCAGTACCACATTGTGATTATTGAGCGATGTCCCTTATCGTTTACTATGCTGAGTTAGGTAAATTAAGTAACACAATAATCCGACTTAGAAGGTTTGTTCTGAGGCAAAAAGTGGTCAGGTGGCATAAGGCAGCAAAATCCATCAAGGTTGAGCGGTAAACACACCACTTTTCGAAAGAAAATATCATGTAGTAAATCAGCATGATGTTATGTTGGCTTGATACCGCATTCCTCCATCGAATGGATTGATCCATTCTAGCTGGTCAACTTATTTTTGGGTACTAGGTCCCACTACTATTAGGAGCGATTATGTTACAGAGGCGTTAATTGACTTGCGAATTCTACGGGATGTATTTATACGGAAAAAGCAGACGTACGTTTTCAGCACTCCAATCTTCTGTTCATTTTCGGACAGGTGGACCCCTGTAGTACCAAACTGTTGTTTCAGATGATCATTGGATGTGTTAAGATATTCCGCTTCGGATTCTCGCTCGACCGATTCAGAATCAGAGCATGCTATGGATTTAAGTCTCCGATGATGGTGGTGATCAGGTGCTGGTTGTATTCGTCCCTTAGGAAGCTTCCCAATGGAAGCACCTTCCGTTGAATTCCCAGTACTGTTTCCACTATCCACTCCCTCCGCTTCATCCCTTTCGTCGTCGTCGTCGCCATCGTTCATGTCATCGTCTGAAGCTCCTCTCCCATCACAATGTTCTGAACGCAATGATCTCCGGAATGCACGCCAGTTTCGTAACTTTGCTGGCCGCTTAACTGGATCATTTCGTTGAGATTGAGACTACACACAAAGCAAGGGAAGCGAAGTAAATACGTTTGATAAATAGGATCAAAGCACAAAGAAAATAAACCAGTAGTTGTAGATGAATAAGCGATGATTCAGACAACTCGTACTGCCACACAGGTTTGTGACTTGGACAGCCGATAAGTTCGTACAATGGAAAGAAGTAGAAAGAGGTCTTAAAGGGTAGGTAATGGGTAATCGTTTGAAGACCATTGTTCCATCAGTTTTATTCAACTTAGCATCACGAGTGCTGCCAATAGATGTAACCGCAGCGCAACGCTTTCTTTGGGCGCGCTCGCTTTGTTTCGTTGTGTGTCACCCATCTTCGGATAGAGGCCACCATGATTTGCTTAACAGCGGAGGGAACAAGGCATTTGTATATGTCAGCACTTGTAGCAGTCTGCAGATTCCCCGGTTTGCCTGTGTAAAATTCTAACTAAACCTATTTCATTGTACACCTAGGCAAACCGGTTGGTTGAAACTGGTTTGTTGAACTGATTGCTGAATTCGAATGCTTGACTTGCTCACCGTCATTTTTGCTTGACGCTCGGTTCGGTTACAACGCGCGACTGCCCTGTGTGCTATGCATCCTCTATTCCCCTAGCTAGAGCGTAAACGGTGCCGCTATTTTATAGCTAGGTAGCAGGGAATCTTTTGCTGTACCAATTAAAGCTTCCCTGCAACTCGATCTGTCTTTTCGAGTTGCCCTCCGGGCCTCCGGTCCAGGCTACAAGCTAAACACTCGTAAATTAATATGTCACCCAAGATATTTGAATTGCCGCGCAACTACAACGTCATTAGCGAAGTTTCTGGCAGGAGTTCGAACAACTAGGTGTCTGGATCGTTTCTATGCACTTGCACTGTAGTGGAAATTACTAGAGAACCCACAACATGTGTCCTTACTGCCGAGAAAAATGGTGCCTCGTTGGAGAAAGTTGAAGGAAGATAAACGGGGAACCAAGCGCGTAGAATTGGTCAAACCAAAATGAATCACAGATAAATGTGAATTGCAAACAAAAATAACTTTCTTAAAAATACACGCTGCTGTATTTCCGCAGTAGATGATAGCCTGGCAACGTTGCATGTCGTGGAACGGGTGAGGATGCGAGAGACGCGTGATCGCACTGTGTCGCGATTACACGTCTATAGCTCACTAATGGGCAATCATTGGCGTCCGTGCTGACAGCACCAGCGCAGCAAATCAAGGTGGTGATGAAAATCTGTGAAGACTGTGGAAAATTGCTTGTACATTATGTTGCAGGGCAGGGATTGACTGAATACTGTGCCATCCCAATATCTAAGTCACTTGTACAACTTTTCCTCAATATTTATGAGATATTTACTAAGTACGATTCATTGCATCGTCTAAACCAAATGTCTATGTACCAGTTACCAGCTGTGAGATTTTGTGTGTTTAATGCAGATGCTATGGACGAATGAAGAGTATTGTTTCAGCATAAACAGCCCACTGATATCATAACTAAAGTGTTTTGAGCTTAGTCACTTAGTTTGACAACGTGGCCTCAACTCGTAACACCGTTTCTCTGAGTTTTCAAATAGGGAAAATTTTTAACTGTGACATTTACACTTAGCGATGAGATCATCACAAGCGTTGCATTAATACGTGAAGCTAGGAGTTGAGTACACAGACTACAAAGTAAATAGCCTTTTAATCTGTTGTGAGACCAGTGTAGAATGTTTCTTCTTAATGGATAGGGTAAGAAATGCATCCAACACTACTATAGCACAGTATTCATGTAGTCGAGACTAGTGACTCAATGCTACAAGCTCTCTTTGTGTGGCCTTGAGTTGATTAGTTCACAGAAATGTCCTCGACCAACTCAAACGGGACAGAATCCGGGGCGAACTCCATAAAAGATAAGATACTAGACGATAAAAAGCAGTGGGACTCCCTGTGTCAACTAATAGGGGTTCAAGCTAAAGCCCTCAGTATGATGCGTCTCGTCTGCCACCCAAACTCCCTACACTACGGTGAACCGCGGTTACTTCAGGTAACACTTCAGTCAGGTAATGATGCAGAGGCAGTTCTCTTGTCAGCCACTCACCTCCGTACCACAACATGCACTAGTCGAGTATTTCCAGATGTTCCTTGGAGCGAAGGCCAGAAACGCATACAAAATCCGGATGACTTCCGTAAACAACAAGACACAAAATCTGTTTTTGTTCACAGTGTCACCGAGCTTGACATTAGGCGAACTTGAGGCCACAGCGCATGACTGGGATGAATGGCGTTTTATTCGTGAAGTACTCTCACTCGAAAATGTTATCGCTACTTCGACATCAAGGTTACCGCTATCACCTAACTAAAAAGGGTGTGGTCCCCGAGTGATGAAAGTATCATTACACTCCGAACTGATGGAGGAACTAGTGATCAAAATGTGGCACAAAAAGCGTAAAATGCTGCCATCCAAAATACGTATAAAGGCAATAGGTATCGGACCACAGATAGACAATGTAACACTGAGCAAGTAACTTACCAATACAATTCTGTCACCGTGCAGCTCAGAACGGACACAACGCCAAAACAGACCGACAGCTGAAGGAGAACTGAATGATCACCCTCAACAACCTGAACTGGTCTAGGGCCTGAGACATCGGTCCTACAAAAAACTACCGGCAGCCGACCCCGCAAGGGTCGGAATAGACCCTCACCGGAAAGCAGCATTCACAAACACTCTTCTGACCACGGATGCCCTCACCTGCTTGTACATCAATGCACAAGGTCTTCTCAGCAAGCTAACCGAACTTCGTATTCGTCATGTCTCCACGCCTTGGGACCTAGTTTTGGTCACGGAAACATGGCTGAACACAAAGATCACGGATGATGAGATTGCACTACTCGGCATGACTTCTATACGAAATGATCGACCTAGCAGAGGAGGGGAGTGCTCCTGTATTTTCTATCCGACCTGTATGTTGATGTCATTGAGGACTCAGAAACGAAAGTTGTCGATTCTCTTTGATGTCGTATGCACCTAAGACGTGGTGATGTGTGTTTACTAGCAATAGTTTACCGCCCTCCAATGTCCACCTTGGAAATGGATCAGTGCTTAGCTTCTGCGATGAAACGAGTCTTGGCACGACCATACAGTCACGTCCTTCTGGTGGGGGACTTCAACCTGGACGCAATCGAAGTTCCAGCATCGCACAGCGAACAATGTCAGCCGGTAGTTGAGTGGTATGCGCGTCTGGTTTGCAAGCACAAGGTCACCGCTTAGAATCCGCGGGTGTCCTCGCGGTATACTCAGTCCAAGCGAGAATGGTGGTGGTCGTGTGGCAGCGAAGCGCCGTTACGGCGTACAGCTGGCGAATTTTTACAGCGAACAATTCAAGGCAGATTGGCAAATGGTGATCGCCGATGTACCACTGTAAAACCATGTCACCTCTCCCACGCGATTCCGAACGGGTGAGTGAGTCTAAAAGTGACGAATTTCTACCTATACCATTCAACTCCCCCTACTACTCATCTCTGACATACCCTCTGTTTTGGACCTTGTGCTCTCTAACGAGGAACTAATGGTCGACACAGTGACCATTGCTACACCACTTGGACGTAGCGATCGCGCGATGTTGCTCTTTCGTTACATCTGTTACTCGGAGTACATCAGTGAGAACAACGTGAAAACCTATGTCGTTACACATTACGATAAACTGTCTAACTTCGTTCAAGAAATCGACTGGTCCTTCCTGGCCGAGAAGCCACCCGATGTCGCCTGGATGTTGTTCGTCACCCAATTCACTGAGCTAGTGGCAAATGCGTCAGAAAGCAAGGTCCTTCGCCCGAAGCAAGTGAATTCGTTCCTGAGGTGACGTACTAGAAAATGCACGACCTTAAGGGATTCAGCTTGGCGCGCTTACAAAGTCTGTCCAAATAACTTGACCTGGGGTGCCTACACGACTCAACGAAACCACTGCGTCAAGTTGATCCGCGAATACAAACTGAAGCATCAACAGAACATAGCGGCGAAATTCAGTACAAATCCCAAGTTGCTGTAAAAGCGTGTCAACAAACTCCGCAGAGTGCACCGCGTTATCCCGGTTTTACGTGCATATGGTCTTGCGCAAACCGCACAAGATGCAGACAACGTGCTTCGCCAACACTTCATCCATACTCTCCGGAGTGAATCATCATTTCATCCGCTTTTTACACAGCTTCCATCGCCACCAGGGTTAAACCACGTATCGTTCACGGCAGCCAATGCGATGAAAATGCCAACGTCATTGCGCGTGCACTGCTCACCTGGCGTGGACGACATCAAACCGAAGCCCTGAAGACAGCGGCCAAGAACCTTGCCGAACCGTTAGCTCGGTTCTTTCAACGTTGTCTCGACGAAATGCAGGTTCCAACAATGTGGAAACATAGACTAGTCACTCCTATTTACAAAAGTGGCAATCGTTCCGAGCCTTCGAACTACCCTCCAATCACTCTTCTCCAAGTTTTATCCAAAGTACTGGAAGGCATAATTGCAGAGGCGCTCATGGGATATCTTGAGAGCAACAACATCCTAGTGTCACAGCAACACGGATTCCGCCGAAATCGATCCTGCACTACAAACTTGTTGCTAGCCCGAGCAACCTGGACAGAGTCAGCAGATGCCAAAATGGGAGTCGAGGTTGTCTACCTGAACTTCTCGAAAGCGTTCGATCTTTTGGACCAGTGCATTCTCCTTCACAAGCTTCGAAACCATGGAATCGGTGACAATATACTCGGTTGGATCGGCAACTACCGCGCTCTAGGTCAGCTGAATGTGAGATTCCGCAGCTCTATTTCCGACCCAATTGACGTCCAGTGTGGCGTTCCCCAAGGATCGGTACTGGGGCCACGTTTATTCCTAGCATTTATTAACGATCTTTTCAATGTACTGCAGTCGAAATTCTTACTATTTTCTGATGATGCCAAAATTTGGTATGATATCAGGACATCGGATGATCACATGGCATTGCAGAGCGATCTCGACAAGGTTTATTTGTGGTCA